GCTTCGTTATGTCTCGAGCCTCCAGGCCCGCATGGCAGTTTAGGGTTTAGGGTTCAGGGTTAGGGTTTTAGGGTTTAGGGTTTAGGGTTTAGGGTTTGGGGTTTAGGGTTTAGGGTTTAGGGCCTCTAACGCCCTGAATAAACCTCAAAGCCGAAAGCCTCCCCAGAGCCCCCCTAAGCACCCACGGCGATGCCCTAAATAGCCTCATGAAGGTACGTGTTCATGGGTAGTTGAGAGTGCAAGGTCTGTATAGCGGTCTTTGGGGTTTCAGTTCATCTTAAAGCTTACATCATAACAACAAAACATGCTATAGCTTTATATGTTGATTTATATGTTGATGTATGTGCTTTATCTTCTTTTTGACTCGCATGGGTGGGGGTGTGTTCTGAAAGGGCCTTTCTGGCGGAAGGAGGGCAACTGCAGCCTGACTCAATGAGGCAGAGGCTCTTCATTGGAGTCCCCTGGGCGCCCCCAAATCCCTACCTGCACTTTAGGGTTTAGGGTTAGCCTAGCACTCAAAACCCTAAACCCCTTAAACCAAGGTTTTCAAGACGGCACTTTACTGAGGCTCCTTACAGGGCGGGTGGCTGCAGATGAACCCGCGGCTTCGGTCATCTCTTGCCCTAAAATCTTCCTCAAACCCAAAACTTAGAACCCTGAACGCCCAAAGCTCTAATACCTAAAACTAAACCCCCCTAAACCTACACGCCCCAAACATAGATGTACCATACAGCCTCAATACTATGAGGCCTTGTCGCCCTAAACCTTAAAACCCTAAAAACCTAAAACCCTAAACCCTAAAACCCTAAAACCCTAAAACCCTGAAACCCTAAACCCTAAAACCCTAAACCCTGACGCCAACAGGCTGCGACATCCGCTGCCGCGCCGCTCGCACTGGAGGTCAGACATTCGAGGTTATGAATGCGAGCTGAGTGGAGTGGTTCAGGGTTTAGGGTTCAGGGTCCAGGGTTTAGGCCCTAATTAAACGCTAAAACCCTTCACCCTAGACAACACCAACAAAACCAAGGCTCTAACCTTCCAGCATTCAAGCTTCCCTACACCTTCTACCCTCAACTCCCTAAAAGCCCCCTTTTTCCCTTAACTCAAGGCACGTTTTAAAAGGAAGAGGTGGAGCTCTGAAGCTCCCCCGCCCTGTGCCACGCAATCCTTCACCTTGCGGTCCGACGTCATTCCGGAGCTGATCAAGCTCGTGAAGAATGACAAACCAGATGATACGGGTTCAGGGTTTAGGGTTTAGGGTTTAGGGTTTAGGGTTTAGGGTTTAGGGTTGAGATCTCTGGCTCGTAGGGCGGGTCCCGGAGCTGCGTTTTGCCAGCAAGTCTTTGGCTGGACAGCAGATCAGCGACTGTTCGAGTGAGATCGGCGCAGTCAGAACCGACTCTCCGTGTCCGCCTGTGGACATCAGCGAAGCGCAAAGCTTAAACTGGCAGAGTAGCCCTACTGTGAATTCTGCTGAGGGAGTTTAGGGTTTAGCCCCTCCCTCCCCCCACTCCAACCCCCAAACCCTAAACCCTAAACCCTAGACCCTAAACCCTAAACCCTAAACCCTAAACCCTAAACCCTAAACCCTAAACCCTAAACCCTAAACCCTAAACCCTAAACCCTAAACCCTAAACCCCTCATCCTAAACCCTAAACCCCAAACTGGGCGTTCCCTGCAAACCCCCAAGGCCCCTAAACAGCATGTTCTACCGACGCAGCCGCAGGCCTTCGATGACCTCCTCGTCAGCGCGGCCGCGCACCCAGGAAGTCAGCGAGAGGGCTCGGGGTGGCCCCTCAAACCCTTAAAGCCCTTAAAACCCTTAAAGCCCTCAAAGCCCTTAAAACCCGTAAAGCCCTTAAACCCCTTAAAACCCTTAAAACCCTTAAAACCCTTAATCCCGTAAACCCTTAAACCCTTTAACCCTTTAACCCTTTAACCCTTCAACCCTTCAACCCTTAAACCCTTGAATCCTTAAACGCTTAAACCCTAAACCCCAAAACCCCTTAAACCCCAAAACCCGCAAACCCTTGAACCCAAAAAACCCTAAGACCCTAAGACCCGAAGTCCTAAACCTGGTCCAGGTTCCCTCTTGTGCCCAGAACACCGAAAGACACAGCCCTTGAGCCGCTGAAAAACACAGGTGGTGGGTGCCACGGAGGAGAGGGTTGAGGGTTCGGAGTTCAGGGTTCAGGGTTTAGGGTTTAGGGTTTCAAGGTTTAGGGTTCAGGGTTGAGGGTTTAGGGTTTAGGAAGTCTCAACCCTAATCCCTAGCCATTGCCGAGGCGCGCCTGTCGCGCCCAGGTTCCCCTGCAGCCACCCAGGTGGAAGGCTCACGGGGCTGTTAGGGTTTATATAGGAGTTTAGGGCTGAGGGGCTCAGGCATTGTGAAATTTAGGGGGGGGGGGGGGGGAAGTTGTGGGGTTTGGGAGGTTTGAGCTTTCAGGGCCTTTTTAAGGGGGTTGTGTGATTCGGTCTGCCTTGCAGGGCAAGAGTACAACTGCGTCTTGCGGGATGGTGTTGAGGTTTCAGAATTTTGGGGTTGAGGGTTTAGGGTTTAGGGTTTAGGGTAGTGGGTGAGGTTGGGGTCAGCGTTTTTGACCACGTGGTTGCTAAGAGGAGGCCCGCTCACGATGTATGCAAGCTCTAGAGTCTAGAGAATTCAAAAATCCCGAAACCCTAAACCCGAAACCCTAAACCCGAACCCTTAACCCGAAACCCTAAAAACCCTAGACCCTAACCCTAAACCCTAAACCCTAACCCTAACCCTAAACCCTAAACCGCCTAAACCCTAACCCAGCCCGGTAGGATTTGTGTAGGGTTTCGAGTGCGGCCAGGCCTCCTTCTCCTGTGGCCTGGGGTGTCGAGCCCGGCATTCACCGGTGTGGGGTCGTGGTTTAGGTCTTTGAGGGTTTAGGTTTAGGGTTTAGGGATCAGGAGTGATCAGTTTGAACAACACCCAATTTGGGTTCGGGTCGAGAGTTCAAGTCTGAGTGGTCTTTCGCGCTGCTCTGTTCTTACGAGCATCCTCGCGTGTCGGAATGTTGCCAGCAACATATGGGGGTTTACGAAATTAGGGGACCCCCAGCAATATGACCCCAAATAGTAGCATCCCCCTTTTCTTAGTAGCTGAATGAGTATACTTTACACTTTTGGGATACTAGAATCCTCTATAGAACTGAAAGTGTACACTTTTTGGGGGCCCTGAACTGAGCAACTAAGTTTAGTAAGGCCCCAATATCGGAAACCCCCAAGCAGTGTGGTATGTTTTTTTGCGCACATGGACTCCCAGCTCCCGCGTGCCGTGCGCTAACTATCCGACACCATGGAAGCCCTACTCCCCAGACCCTTGCATGGCCACAGTACTGGCTTAGGGTTTAGGTTTAGGGTTTAGGGTTTAGGGCTTAGGCTTAGGGTTTAGGGTTTAGGGTTCCCAGGGACCGCAACAACCGGAAGATTGAAATCTCAGCCTCTCAACTGGGATTTTGACATACAAGGACCAGTGAAGGCCCTTAGTCCCCTTTTCTAGGGGTCTAGGTTCCCTGAAAAGCCCCTTGACCACGAGGGGCAACCCTTTTATTCCTAGCTTACTCTTGCGTCACCGTAAGCCCTAAACCCTAAGTTTACCCTGGCAACCCTAAAGTAGGAAATCTAAGATTCCCATGCCTCCATTTTCAATTTTACCGGACAGTTGTAGCGAAGGCTCTTGAAGTTGCAGGGCTTAGGGCCCGTCGGTGTGTAAGGTAGGCGTTGACACTGCGGGTGAGCAACTTCTGGGGTTTAGGGTTTAGGGTTTAGGGTTTAGGGTTTAGGGTTCAGGGATGCTCTCCCTTTTGGCAACTCTGCCCCTCATCAACCCTGAATCCCAAAAACCCTACACACGCCGTCCCAAGCAGAGCTACTTGCTGCTGCCCACAGATTGTCCGCAGATGCGAATTCCAAGTAGCGTATATTCTCTTACGATCCTCATCCGTGTAAACATTCATGATGCCCGCAGCGCTTACCAGAATGCATATGAGTTAGGGTTTAGAGAGCCTTCTGGCATATAGGGTTTACGGTTTGGAAAAGCCCTTTGGCTTTGCATCTCTGATCCGCACCTCCGTTGGCCACAGCGATTAGCTTGCCAAGATGACTCTTGCCAGCAAAGCCAGCGACTCCCAACATCACAAACCCTAAGCCCTAAAGACCTTTCATTTTTGCCGGGGGTCTGGGGGTCTAAAGGGCCTAGATCCCTGTAAGTCTAGACATTGGGAGAGTCCTCAAGGAATGCTTAGAAGCTTCAAGGTATTTTCGCAGCAACGCCCCCGCCCCCCCCCCCCCCCCCAACCCGCCGGTGATTAGGGGTTTGAGGGGGGTTGGGGGGGCAGGGGGGTGTTGAAGCCAGTACTGGAGCAAGCATCGCACTTAAGTTTCGGGCAGCTCGTCGAGGGCTTTTGTTCTGGCAGTCCAACTAGGGGGGCTCGGCGGGTAGACGGCCGTGGTACGGGAGGCACACGAGGATGGATATGTTTGTATAGAAATCGTGATTTTGCACGCTTTTTTTTTTTTTTTGCATTTTAGGGGTAGTTATAAAAAGCATCGGGAAAAGCATCAGCAAAACTGAGCGGCTCTAACAGATTCGGTTGTTGTTAAAAACAAAGTGTGGCCAACTTCTGCGGGAAGCTTTGCGAGTCCAAATCTTTGCGCAGAGTTTGCAACATGAATTGGCCAGCTTTCTCAAGTCCGGGTTCATGCGAGATTTACTTTCATCCTAAACCCCAAGCCCTAAGCCCTGAACCCTATAATTAAACCCTTATAATCCCTCAACCCTCACCACGGCCGTCTACCAGCCGCGTTCCAACTACTAAGACCCAGAGTAGGTTCCTAAACCCTACTTGTCAAGCCGCAGGTTCAGGATTCTGGTTCCAAAACAGCCTTCGCTGCGCCAAACCTTCAACCCTACACCCTAAACCCCAGGCCTCATTCCTTTCGTCTTTTTAGAGCTTTGCACCACAGCGGTTTCATGTGTTTTTGGAGTTATGTTGTGTAGAGCAACGCGTTGCTCGTAGTGACATTGTACGAGCGATCCAACCGCAGTTGATCGCTCGAGACCTTTGAGCACCTTTTGCTTTAAGCACCCACCTCGACCTCGATCTGCCAGCCATGTCGAGCTCAGCAGCCGGAGAGGCGATGGTGCGGAGTTTGGCCGGACTGAGTTGGCCCGACCTCGTAGCGGCATTTAGGGCTTCAACGCCAGGAGCGCGCAGCAAAATCATCTTGGCGATAGACAAGGCGGATGCCGACGACCGCGAGGCGGCGGTGCCCTTAGCTGAGCTTAACGCGACCTCGCCTGCGACATCGGAGCAGCTGATGAGAACAACAGTGGAGGCCGAAGCCGGTTTGGCAAGCACGGCTTTGTCATCCACGACCCCGGCGGCCACGGCACCAGCATAGATGCTGCCATCGAAGTTGTTGGATATCGTGAAGGCTAAGCCAGCGTCGCCGCCCTCTGGGGTGTCAGTCACATTCACTCCACCGACTCGGGTGCACATCGACCTCGACGCCTTGGACGGCATGTCCGTTGACGAGGACAGGGCGACCCCATGCGTGCCGGGCAGCGCTACTCCTTTGCCGGCGTCTTTGGTTCCAGGTGGCGACGGTGGGCCGGCCCCTGGACTGGTGGACCTCTCCTCGGCGACCTCGGGCGCTACTTCTTCGTCGGCGTCTTTGGTTCCAGGCGGCAACGGTGGGCCGGCCCCTGGACTGGTGGACTCCTCGTTGGCGACATCGAGTATCATCTCATTACTTTGGGACGGCCGTCGTCTTCGAGCCACACAGCTGGACAGCTTGCCAGACGTGAAGGACAACAACGCGCCGTTCGACCCCAGGACGCTTTCTGATGGCCGGCATCTTCGGGGCGGACAGTGTGAGGGGCATAGCAACGGCTTGCTGCTCACGACCTCGCCTGCGTTGAACACGGCGACTGGTGGACAGGGCCCTTCTTCGTGGACGTCTCCGACTACGACCACGCCAGGGGGTCCGGGGGGTTCTCATACAGTCGCTGGCACTCAGCATGACGGAGACAGCTGGTCATCGAGTTGGACTTTGTGGGCTCCGCAACAGGCATCTTCGTTGGACACGACCTCGGCGCCTTCTACCACTTCTCATGGGGGGAGTGTTAGCGAGGGCACTAGTCAGGCAGCCCAGCCAGGAGCGACCACTTCGGCGAACAGTCACAGATCGGCGAGTCGCTCACAGTCGCAACCAATGGAGGCAGAGCCGAGCGAGCATTTGGTCATCCCGCTCCCGTCCTTGCCGGCTAACGTACCACAACAGGCCATGCCCGAAAATGTCCAGCACTGCCGCCAGCTTGGGTGGTGCAACAGGGTCTGCCCCGGTGCGAACAAGGCGATTCCAGGATGTATGCGACGCTGCTACCGACCGGTCCCGGCCAGTCCGGGCTACCACAAAGGCCACTTGTGCCCCTTCTGCAGGAACGTGGCTCTTGGTGGTCGCGGTCGCTGATGTGGCCCCGCTCGACTTCGACCTCGTTGGCCGACCATGCCGATCGGTCGGATGTCTTGGGGTGGACAAAGAGAAGGACACCCGCGCTGGGAAAAGGAGGCCGTTTTTAAGTTGCTTCTTGGAGTGTTTTCTTTGGTCGTCTTGAGGGTTTCGTTGCTTTGGTTGTTGTGCTTGGGCGTTTTTCGGGGCTCTGTTGTAGTTTTTCTTTCACAGCCGACCACACCCTTTTTGCAACAGCGCCCATGGCGACATCGACCTTCGCTAGCCTAGTGGAAGCCACCCATGAAGCGGGCCTCGACCCCGCAATTTTGTTGACGCTCCAAGACATCGGAGTGTCGTCGGTGGACGACGCAGTGAGTGCCCTCGGCCGTCCTCCGCTTGGGCCGGACATTCAGGCGGCGCTGGATGCACTTGTCACAGTTGTACATGGGGCGCGAACTGCCTCTGCTTGTACGGCTCCGACGACCACGGGGCCATTGCGCAACCTCAAGCGCAAGGATGTGCCACGTCCGGCACCTCAGCCCCATGGGGGTTGCCTCCAGAAGGCGCTTAGGGCGGCCGACCCCGCAGTTCGTGATGAGACACTTCGCACCTTCCAGGCGGACATCTTCGCTCGCTCCAACCAGGCCCCCCAAGACAGCAGGTGGAAGACGTGGCAGCGGTTGGCCGAGGCTTGGTCGCTGAGGCCCATACCATTGACCACCGACCTCGTGGCCAAGGTGGGCAGCCTGCTCAAGGCCGGGGGGTACAAGTCTTGTAAGCAATACTTTTCCCGTGCTCGGCGGGCCCATGTCGAGAATTTCGGGGAGCTGGACGCTGGAGTAGTGCTAGCGATCTCGGACGCCATCCGCAGCATCGAGCGTGGCTTGGGGGGCCCTGCCCTCAAACAGGCCTTCAGGGTGGAGGAGCTCCGCTTCAGCGACAGCAACACGACCGCGGCGGGACACGCCATGGTGGTTGGCGGATGCTGGTTTCTCACCAGGGAGATCGAGTCGGCGGCTCTTCGCAGGGGGGATATCAGCTTCGACCACGAGTCCTTCACCGTATCCGTCAAGTTGGCTGCGTCCAAGACCGACACACAGGCGCGTTCAGTGACACGTTCACACCGGTGCTACTGCCAAGTGGTGGGGGAGCAGTTGTGCCCATTCCACGTCCTCGAGCACTACTACATGCTTGACACCGGGGCCTCGGACGACGTCCCCTTGTTCCATGACGGCGACTACGTGGAGCTCTCGAAGAATCAGGCGGTGGAGCTCATCCGAGCAACTCTGGCGGCTGCAGGAGTAGCAACCAGGGACGACAACGGCCACCCGCGCTTCGGAGGTCACTGCCTGAGGGTCTCGGGAGCTCAGTGGCTTTGCCGGCTGAAGATACCGACCTCGACCATAGCCTTGCTGGGTCGATGGGGGAGCAGGGCCATCGAACGCTACCTGCAGGATGCCGAACTCACCAACTTGGAGCCGGCCGCGCCCTTCCCACCTCCGCCGCCTGCGACACCGACATCTGTCAGGCAATGGCTGCTGTGTGACAGTCCTGGCGATGAGCGTGCTGCAGTGGAGACAGAAGGCTCAACCTCAGCAGTGGGAAAGGACTCGACCACAGCGACGGCCTTGGAAGAACGTTTGGAACAGCTGTCACTAGCAGTGGAGCGACTACTGCATCGACAACGCTTCATCGTCAGCCGGAAGACACACATCCGTGACCCCCTCGAGGGTGACAGGAATCCTGCTAAATGGCAGGCGCAGTGTGGTTGGCGATACGGACACTCTAAGTTCTGGCGCAGCGACAGCGAGTCGGGCTCTTTGTGCAAGAAGTGCTTCCCGGCCCAGGGGAACGTAGTCGACCTCGAATCCTCGTCGGCCTCTTCCGAGGACTCACAGAGCGAGACGAGCTCCGCTTCTAGTAGCAATTAGGCACATGAGAGCCGCGTATGAGCCTTGAGCCTGGCAGGGTTCAAGAAAGATGCTGCGCTTTCATAGGACACAGTTGTCGTGGGGCGAAGCGGGAATGACTCAAGTGGTGGCCGCTGAGTTGTACCGCCCGCCCGCTGCACATCTTGGTGAGTCTTTTGAGTTTGCGTTGGCCTTGACCCCGGTCCCCCCCCCCCCCCGCCCCACCCCCCCCGCCCTAGGTCCCGTAGCCATGGCCGACTTCGACGACGAGATGCAACGCCTCTTGGAGGACGCAGGGGCCGACATGAGTCTCCGACGTTATCTTCGTCATAGAGGCTTCATCAAGGCAGGCCTCTTTGCGGCAGCTGCCTCGTCGACCGACGAGCTTGATGCGGCGTTGCTTCAGCCCCTCATTGACGGCTACACGATCGCGACGGACGACATCATCCAGCTGGACGCATTGGCGGTCACTGTAGCAAAAGCAAGACTTCGCTTCATTTGGAAAAAGTCCCAGCCGGCTGGAGCGGCCCCGACTGCAGCTACGGCACCGACAGCGACTGCGTCCGCAGCTACCTCCTCGAAATCGTCCAAAGAACTACCGTCAGGTTGGTGGGCGGCCCAAATTGCCAAGTACGAGGCGGGTTCGGGGACGACCCCGTCCCGCACGTTCCCACAGGATGAACTCTTAGGCGCAGAAACGGTGCTGGCGCGTCTGGTACATGAAGACAAGACGAAACTGTACACGGCTCTGTCGCTCACAGAGTTAGTAGAGGCACGCTTCTTCAATGCAGCGGGCGAGCCCAACCCCATCCACCAGCATCGCCACAACAAAAAGTCGACTACGCTCACTATCAAGAGGGAGGGCGACCACGACGACGGATACTCCTTGGAGGCAGAGAAAGAAGCGCCTTGGAACCCAAAGTCGACCCTCGCGATCCTGGACTGTCTGACGGCGATCAGGTGGGCGTGGACTTTGTGTGAGTTTGGCGAGGAGAGCGACATCGTCCGCTTCATCAACTGGTTCCAAAAGAAAGTCAGGCAGAACTCTTCACGCTTGGAACAAATGAAGTCCTACTGGGAGGCCGTGGCGTGGAGAATTGCGCTGCAGTCTCGCTCCGGGGGCAAGCTCGCCGACATCGTTGACGCGATCATCGACGACACGCAGGCCTTTCAGGAAGCCATGGCCCGCGATGTCCCGTCAGACCGCCCGGCCAAGAAGCAGACCTTGCAGACTTCTACGACCACGCAGCATTGGACGCCAAAGTGGGAGTCAAAGACCAGCGACTTCAAGGGCAAGTCGCGCAAAGGCGGGGGCAAGGGTGGCAAGCCCGTACTCAAGCGGTGGCAGCCGTACTCGTACGGCGACAGGCGGCCAGAACAAGGCAGTTGGCAGCGCGACTCGTGGCGTTCCGACGGTGACCGCTACTCGGGCCGGCAGGACCACTCGCAGTCTTGGGGCAGCCATGCTTGGGGCCATCGCAGCGAATAGGGACAGCACGGGCCACCCGCTTTGGGGGGTGGACCCGACCCGCAGCCACGGACACACGGAGCGCAGCCCGGACAGGCGAAGCGACCCCGCATTGAGTCCCCGGCCGTGGTCCTCAAACCCAACCCCCGCTTCAGCCAGCGCAAACAAGGCCTCATCGTCTTAAGCTTCTTTGACGGCCTCGGCTCCGCCCCGCACATTGCAACCACGTGGCTACAGCACTTCGAGGTGCGCCGCATTTTCGCATGGGAGACGGACGGCGACCTAGCAAAGTTGTCACAAGAGCGCTTCGGCGCGTTGTTAGTGCACCGAGGCGATTTCGTCGCCGATGGACAGGAGCTGCGCGGTACTGGCGACAGGGGGCCCGCCGTGCCACGACCACAGTCGCATTCGCAGCGAGGCTCCCGGGTCGGCGGGTCCGGATGGATCCAAGTTCCTTAGATTCTGCGAGTTCCTCCGAAGTTTGGAAGCCGCCTGGGGTCGAGCTCAGGCTGCTCTGGTGGTGGAAAACGTGGTGCCGCAGAACAAGCAGGATGTCCGAATGTTCGAACAGAAGCTCTCGGCCACGGCAGTGGTGGCGGATGCAGCCGACTTCGGAGTGATATCCCGTCCACGGGTCTGGTGGACCCGCATTCAGTGGCAACAACTGGCTTCGTCTTCCTCGTGCCCAGTCAGATTGCGCTGGTCGAAATACCAAGGCCTTCCACAAGTTCATCTTGACGTGCCCAAGGACGACCTACACGACTACGACGTCGGCGAGTTACAGTGGCCAGAGAACCTCACATCAGGGAGGCGACTACTACCGTGCCTGACGACTCCGGCCGACAACCCGGAAGGGCGTTCGGCGCCGCGCTCATGCAAAGGGAAGGTCGACAGCGACACGCAGGCAAGATGGTTGGCGCACAACCGCTCCTTGGCACCTTGGCACTTCGAAGCTGGGAACATGTGGAAGGCTCCGGATGGACGCCTATGCCTACCGACCCCGTCTATCAAAGAACAGCTGCATCACCTCCCCAAGGACTACACGTCTGCGCTCACGCCCCACCAGCGTGACAAAGCGCTGGCCAATGGTTGGCACGTGGGTGTGGCAAGGTGGATGATGGCGCTGGCGCTGTTTTGCGGGCAAATACCGGCATCTTCCTCGACAACGTCTGTGCCGCAACCTCTAGGGCCGTTTGGAGAGAACGCCCTCGACGTGGTGTGCAACATTTGGCAGTCCGCGCCACTGCTAGTGGGGCCAGGGGTGCCATTAGCACAGGAGGCGGTCGACCTCTCGGCGATCACCGACTCTGCGGAACATTGGCGTGCCTCGTTCGGTCTACTACACCCGCACCAAGCGCCACCGTCGTTGGAGCCAGGGCTAGCCCAGTGGTTGCCGGTTTGGAGCCATTGGAAGAGCGTGCTACCTGACCTTCGACCTCGAGTCACGCAGGCCCTTAAACTCTTCGTGGACGGAAGAGACTGCGCAGTGGTTCAGCACATTGCCGACTCACGTCAAGGAGCTCTACCAGGACACAAGCGGTCGCCCTACCTTACAAGTACCGGCGATCAAGTCGCTGGCGCAACGACTCGGTTGGCCAGACTACGTCCTATTTGACGAGCTGTCACAAGGATTCCCACTGCTAGGCCAAATCAGCCCTGGTGCAGGATGGCGACAGAGGTCGGACGCGAGGTACTCCACCCCAGTACGATTGGAGCAGTTCTTCAGGGAGAACGACGAGTTTGTGTGCACTCGACTACGTCACACCAAGGTGGACCAGCATTGGCGCACCATGGCAACGGAGATAGCCAGCGATGTCGTCAAAGGCCGAATGGAGGGGCCGTTCGAAGCGCCGGCCCATTGGCCTAAGCGCACAGTGGCTCTGGCCGATTTTGAACACACAAGACGTCTTCTCCCCCTTCCACTAGGCGGCCGTATGGCAGTATCTTTTGCTTTCCCGGTGCACCAGGTGGGGGCGGACGGTGCGCCCAAGGTACGCAGGGCGGAGGATTGGCGATCCAGTGGGGCGAACAAGACCGTCTCAGTGGACGACACGCCAGCGTACCATGACATCTATGCCTTCATTGCAGTGGGGAGAGCGATTGCAGCTCGGCACCCAGGGGTACAGCTGGTTACCTGGGGCCTTGACCATGAGGCAGCATATAGGCAGCTACCGGCAGAGAACCCCGACCACGCCTACGTGATCCTTCCCACGCCCGCAGGGCCGACCCTATGGCGACATCGAGCCCTACTCTTCGGTTCGACCGCGTCGGTTTGGTCTTACTGTAGAACGGCCGACTGCATGGCTTGGTTGACTCGGTCATTATGGTTGTCGCCGACCCTCCACTTTGTCGACGACTACGGCGCCACAGAGACGTCCCCGGAAGCCAACTCCAGCTTCCAAGAGATCCAGGAGGGTTGCGGGTATTTGGGTTTTAGGTTTAAAGCCTCCAAGGCCCAACCACCTTCGAACAAGCAGACGTTGTTGGGGGTCGAGCTTCAGTACTTCCCTGACAGAGCCGAGATACACCCGACCTCTGCTCGTGTTGCCCGACTTCGCAACCAGTTGGAAGAACTTCTCGTATGTGGACAACTCCGACCCCGTGACGCGGCCTCCTTGGTTGGTCGATTACAGTTTGTGGCCCAATCGCTGTTCGGACAAGCCGGAGCAGCGGCACTCAAGCCCTTCCATAGACGGGCAGCAGCAGAGAACCACAGACGAGGAGGCGCGGAGTGGCCGCTAGGCTCGGCGTTGACTTCGGCGACCCAATGGCTGGTAGGGAGATTGCAGGCACCCAGACCGCGAACGATCAACTTCGTCGTGCATGATACGGCCGTGATCTACGCTGACGCCTTCTTCGAGATGGGGGGACGCAAATGGCGACCAGGCGACGACTACGACATCGACAACATCGTGGCCCCTAGCACTTTCGTCAACGGTTGGGGCTGTGTGGTCCGGACCAAAGACGAGTGCCTCTACGCAGCGGGAACTCTTCCAATGTGGTTCACACGTCACTTCTTTACGAGAAGAAGCTACATTTACGTGCTCGAGATCATGGCGCAGGTGATCCCATTGGTCCGGCTCGCAGACAGATTGCCTCGGCACATCACACTCTTCATCGACAACGAACCTGCACGACACGCTTTGATCAAGGGTTTTGGCAGGGACGACTGCGTGAACAAGCTGATCCAATGGTTCTGGACCTTCGTGGAGGACCACGGTTGGTGGCCGGTATGGCAACGTGTGCCGACTTCAGCCAATGTAAGCGATGCCGTGAGCCGCTTTGACTTCGACCACGCGGAAGCAGAGGGTTGGCAACGCGTCGACCTCACCGACGACGCCTTCTTGCAGTTTGTCCTTGACTCGATTTTGTGAGGGCCTGCCGGTGCGAGTTTATGGCCTCAGGCGTCGCACCTATGGTGTTTGCAGTCGACCTCGACTTCGACCGACCACGAATGGTGGATAGGTCGATGCGGGGAACGACTGACACGACGCCTGCTGGAGTCTTCGCATAAAAGACCGCCGAACCAGTTTTGGCTCATTGTGAAGCGACGTAATGTCGTGTAGAGCAACGCGTTGCTCGTAGTGACATTGTACGAGCGATCCAACCGCAGTTGATCGCTCGAGACCTTTGAGCACCTTTTGCTTTAAGCACCCACCCACGCCACCCAGTGGTGTTTGCAGTCGACCTCGACTTCGACCGACCACGAATGGTGGATAGGTCGATGCGGGGAACGACTGACACGACGCCTGCTGGAGTCTTCGCATAAAAGACCGCCGAACCAGTTTTGGCTCATTGTGAAGCGACGTAATGTCACATTGAATCTTCAACCCCCCTTAAGCCCTGAGTCTAACACCCCAAGACCTCGAGACGCTTCAACCCCCGATTGTGCCCGAAACCTGCGACTTCGCAGGGCCCTCAACCCTTTAGGGTTTAGGGCTTCGGGTTACTTCCTTTAAGCCTGAACTCTCAACCCTCAACCACTCCGGGCCTTCCACCATCAACCCTGAACCAGAACGCGGTAGGCCCTGGAGACATTTTGCCTTTCCCTTATTGTTCAAGAGGAGCATATTCAGGAATCTTTTTCGGAGGGTTTTTTAATTAAGGCCATCCTAGCTAATTCCCTGAAGGCCCTACCTGGGACCCTAGTTACCTACAGATTCGTAGAAAGTACCCCCTGTTTAGTAGGTATATCCCTCAACACTGTACGTAAAGAGGGTCCCGGTAAACCCCAAACCCCTCGTCTTCGACCTGGCCCAGGAATATCGTCATCCCCCTTGGCGGCGTTGGGAGCCGTTTCCAGACGGAAGGCCCACACAGTTCTGGGTCCTTCCTTCAGGACGACATGATCCCTAAAAGGGTTTATTGGTTCATCTACTTTAATAGGGATTATAGTCGTATAGGGTATATGACCCCAATAACTTCGGGGTTCAATTGGTCCTCAAGGTTCTTCCAGAAAAGAAGGTGCTGCTGCGAAGATCTAAACCCCAGACCCTAAACCGTTTAACCCTACCCAAGCTGCAGCTTTTTGAAGGGTTTAGGGTTCAGGGTTTAGGGTTTAGGGTTTAGGGGAAGAATCTTCTTTACAAGGGGCCCCAAGGAGGGTACCCGTTTCAGGGAGGACTACTGGGGTTTTAGGGTTCATTGCGGGCTTGTGTTTAGTGTTTGGTTAGTGGTTTAGGGGTCAATGGACTTGCGTGCCCCTCACTGTAACACCACTGACTGACCCTACCACCACCAACCCTCAACTCCAAGCCCGCCTCCCTAAACCCTATAATCTCCCGACTCAAGACCCTAAACCTTGGACTCCATACTAAACCCTAAACCCTAGACCCTAAACCCTAAACCCTCAACCCTAAACCCTAAACCCTAAACCCTAACAACATGCCCTCTTTGGGATTGTCTGACCATGGGCTCCATCAAAGCTTTGGAAGCCTCGGCCGTTGCGTGATCTTGGCTCAGCGCCAGCGTGGAAGAAAGGCGGTGGCATTCTAGCGCCCAGGGCCCAGAGCATTATCCCCACCCTAAACCCTAAACCCTAAACCCTAAACCCTAAACCCTAAGCCCTAAACCCAGGTTATCTCTTGGGTGGGTTATCTCTTGGGTGGAACTTTACAAGGCCCGTTTCAGTTAGCTGCCTTTTGTCTTTTTTGTCTTTGTCGGGAGGGGGGGGGCAGGTTTTCGCCCTTGCTTGCAGAAGCTGCATTGGAAGGTTGAGGGCTCCAGGTTTCGTAGCGCTTGGGGCCGAAAAACCGTGCATCCTCAAGTTGAAAGTTTGTTTGGTTGATGGGGTTTGAGGTTCGGTTCGGGCCCTGTTCACAAGCCCTAAACCTTAAACCCTAAACCCTAAACCCTAAACCCTAAACCGGTTCTTATCTGTCACAGACATGGCTGAAGCCAGCTCGACTGATGCGCGTTTGGTGGCAGGCTTCATCGAGCTATGCGATCCCGAAGGATTGCAGCAGTTCGCCCCGGTCAACTTTGACTGGAACCAACCGATCGGAGACACAAGCCGACTGCCGCTGGTCATGGCAATTAAGCAGAGCTTAACCAGCACCGCTGCTAAGCGTCAAAAGCAGCTAGCGCTGATCGAGTGGCTGCTACGGGTTGGCGCAGACCCCCTGCGCAAGATGCCTGAGCACTCGATTGGGTTTTGCATCTACCTGCCAGATAGAGATGAGACGTCGGTAGACACTGCCTGCGCAGGGGAATCGACAATGTCATTCATCTTCAGCTTACTAGGAAGCCTGCGACAAGGAGCTGGTGACGCAGACTGGTCTTCAGAGTGTAAGCACCTAGAAGACGTCCTGGCCGTGATAAAACGAGCAACATCTGCAAAAACAGCCGCGGGTCACAAAGTTGCGGTGCATCAGGATGTTGTGAGCTTGTGGGAGTCACTTCGCGACTTCACTTCCACTCACAACGTGATCTTTGAAGCGGCAGACGGGGAGGTATCTGCTCATGACATGGTCCTCATGCTTGCCTCGCCGGTTTTTTGGTAGCACACTGGTAGCCTTCTCTCCCTTTTTTTGGTGCAAGCTTCTCTATAAAGTGTCCAACCCCACAAGGGTGCCCTTGCTATGATCTGGGCATTTCCCAAAACAGGGGCACCTCTAATATGCACCCAAAATACTACAATCCTTCTTCTGGAAACCCCAAAAAAGGGTACACAAATATTTTCGAAACCCTAAACCCTAAACCCTAAACCCCAAACCCTAAACCCTAAACCCTAAACCCTAAACCCCACATGGTTGCTGGGCTGCCAAGGTCTTGCGGGCCATGTTGGAGTCCGCGATGAAGGAAGGCGCCAACCGACGCATTCAGGTCAAAGACTCTTCCAGCCAGGGCGTGACCCTCTTCCTTGACATGCTGTACCTCGGCAGGGAGCCCTAAACCCTAGACCTTGGACCCTAAACCCTAAACCCTAAACCCTAAACCCTAAACCCTAGGACCCGGAGTAGGCCCTGGTTCCCTTTTTTAGGGCCTTTGGGTTCCCTTGTAAGCCCCCTTAAACTCGAAAGGGCACCCTGTCTTATTCCTAGGTTACTCTTGCTTCAGCTTTCGACACCTTTCAGAAGGATGGAGGGTGTAGGGTTTGGGGTTAAGGGTCTAGGGTTTAGGGCTTAGGGTTTAGGGTTTAGGGCTTATTCTTGCTTCAGCTTAGACACCTTTCAGAAGGATTTAGGGTTTAGGGTTTAGGGTTTTAGGTTCTGCCAACCCAGGTATACCAGTTCTACCTGCGTCGAGACCAACTTGAAGACCATGCTCGTCGCATTAGATCCTCAGGCACTGGGTAAGTTACTTTTTTTGTCACATTTTTAAAAACCTTTTTGGTTCCATAGAATCCTTTTGCATATATATATATATAAGATGTTAACCTTGTTTGGGCTAGGGTATTCAGCCTCCCTTAGGATCTTGCCCACCGATGGCAAGTGTCACACATTGTGGACACGCTTGCGGAGACCTTGCAGCCTGAGATTGATGTTGGTAGCTTTGCAGCGATTGCAGAAGCCGCCGTGCTCAAGGGCTTAGAGTCATTGCAACGAGCCTGTGCTGCGTTCGGCGCAAAGAACTGCGAGATTCAGTCCATGTTGAAGAAGATCAGCTTCCCGCCAGCCGTGCAGAAGCTGATGGGGGCGCCTGAGACACAGCAGCCCGAGCAAGGAACACCCAAGCGGCGTAGGTTTTAGGGTTTAGGGTTGGGGGATGAGGGTTTATGGTTTAGGGTTTAAAGGGAGTTTAGGGTTTAGGGTTTAGGGTAAGACGTGACACCATGAGCTCGGAGACATGTTGGCGCGCTTGACAAGGTGCACTTGCAGGTTTATGTTAACAAGGAAGCTTGGCAAGGTCTGTAAAGTTCAGAAGTGCCTGAACCCTAAACCCTAAACCCTCAACCTTAAGCTTAAGAAGCTGTCCAGGTCCTAGATGCACCGAACTCCAAACCTAAGCCACATGGGGGTTTCTGACATCAGGGGTAGGGTTTAGGATTTAGGGTTTAGGGTTCAGGGTTTAGGTTTTAGGGTCCTTCTTTTTAATTTCATGGGAATCCTACTACTTTGGGGTCTACTGGGGCTCCCTTATTTTCGTAAACCCTCTGAGCCGACCCAGGTCCCCAACTGAGTACTTACCTGGACCTCCCAATCACACATACTGGTCTAGGTAGACAGGACACCCCAAACCCTAAACCCTAAACCCTAAACCCTAAACCCTAAACCCTAAACCCTAAACCCTAAACCTCAAAATCCAAGCCCTGAACCCTGAACACTTGAAGCCCTGGACCAGAACCCTCTGACCCTGAACCCCAAGCTTCCAAAGAGCCCAAAACCCCCTCACATAAGGAATAGGGTTTAGGGTTTAGGGTTTAGGGTTAACCATACTAAGGATCCCTGTATAGTTGAAGGTATATTCCTTATTGCCCTTGAATAAGGAATGTACCTTAAACCACACTAAGGATCCCTGTATAGTTGAAGGTATATTCCTTATTTTAAGGGTTTTGGGGCTCTTTGGGTACTTCGACTCGGGTTTTGGAGTTGATTCAATTTGTGCTTACCGTCCTCGGGCTTCAGGTTTCCTATTCCTATGGCCCCGTTAAGATTTGTTTTTGTTCATATAAACCCCTAAGGAATTTTTTTTTGGGGTTCTAGGGGTTCTAAACCCTAAGCCCTCAACCCTAAACCCTTAAGAACCCTATAAAGGGCAGTAGAGAATCGCGGGTTCAGGGTTTAGGGTTTAGGGTATTTTGGGTTTAGGTTTCAGGGTTCAGGGTTTAGGGTCTAGGGTTTCAGGTTTCGGGTTCAGAAGCCTAACGACCCCAAACCTTTCTGATGCCAGAGGGAAAAAAAGGAGCCTAGGTTCCGAACTATAACAAACCCTACAAGCCCTGCGCACCCCCCCTCCGTATGAACGCGAAACCGCATCCCGGGGGTTTACAAACTCAGGGTTCAGGGTTCAGAGTTGAGGGTTTAGGGTTTAGGGTTTAGGGCTAGGGTTTAGGGTTTAGGGTTGAGGTTTCACCCAACCTCTTGAAGCCCACTGTTCACGTTCTCGAGGCTACTTGACGCGCCCGAAGCCATTTATTCCGGTCTTGGGCCACCGTGGCGGCAAACAAGCCAGGTCTAGGGTTTAGGGTTTAGGGTTTAGGGTTTAGGGTTTAGGGTTTAGGGTTTAGGGTTTAGGGTTTAGGGTTTAGGGTTTAGGGTTTAGGGCCACCTTTGCGGCAGGACAAGCCAGGTCCACTTGGAGGTTTTTTGGGTGCTTATTGCTATCCAATTATAGCTGTACTTCTAGGGTTTAGGGTTTAGGGTTATCACTGTGCTGAAAACTGTACTTCTGCCCATATTTGGGTACTTAAGGGGCTTATAAGTGGGTTTTAAGTACACTTACAATTGGTGAATAAGTACCATGAACCTCTTGTTGGTTTATGGTGAGCCAGGTCTAGGACACAAGGTGGTCTATGGTTCAGGTGGTTTGGGGTCCAGGGTGCAGGGTTTAGAGTTTATAGCCTTCCAGGCTTCTAAGGGTTTTGGGTTTAGTGCGTTTAGGGTTTTAGGGTGCGAAAGTGTCGATCGGGTACCAGGGAGGACCTTGGGACCGTTTTCTCTCCTCAAGTTGGCGTTGAAGAACGTGTTAGGAATAGTGTTTGAAAGCTTTTAAGGGTCCTAAACCCTAAACCCGAAACCCCAAACCCCAAGCCCTAAACCCCAAACCCAAGAGTGCTTGGAAGCTTTGGCACCGGCCAATCTGGGTCCCTTCATGGTTCCAATTCGATTACGTTCGTTGGTCTTCCCTAGCCCTAAACCGTAAACCCTAGCCCCTAAACCTAAAACCTAAAACCAAACCCTATAAACCCTCAACCCTAAGAAGCGACCCCAATGCCAGCGGCCGCATTTCAAGAGCATTCCCTACAAGAGGCGGCCGACATTTCGCAAACTGGGCCCGCAGGACTAGAGAGGTTCCTGGCAATGTAGGGGTCGGAATAATTAGGAATCGTTGTCCCTTATGGTCCTTTGAAGAATTATACGTTAATAACCCCCCAAAAGCCCTGTTCTAATTATTAAGGCCGTATGATGTGATCCGAGCTTTTGGGGTGGTTCTGTTCGTCCGCGGTGCTGTTTGGGACGCTGCCTCGGGAATGTCTTGATTTGAAACCAGGAGGGTCCGTTGCAGGGCTCAGGGAAGTGAACGAAGTGGCCCTAAACCCTAAATTCTAAACCCCAAACCCCAAACCCCAACCCCAAACCCCAAACCCCAAACCCCAAACCCCAAACCCCTAACCCCAAACCCCAAACCCCAAACCCCAAACCCCAAACCCCAAACCCCAAACCCCAAACCCTAAGAAAGAAAAGCCAAAGCCAGGTAAGCCGATGATCAGCTGGGTGGTGGACAACTTGTCCTTGCAGGCAGATGACTCCCTGATACTTGGGTAGCCCAGTGGTGCCCTTTTGCCCCTTCTTTTGGTTCGAAGTCCCCTTGTAAAGTAACCAAAGCAGGGTTTACCCCAAACCCTTAACCCTAAACCCCCTAAACCCTAAACCCCCTAAACCCTAAACTCTGAGGCCCCTAAACCCCAAACCCTTATCATAACATGGTTACTGGGCTACCAAGGATCATCATCTTCAACCCAAGCTGGATGAGCATGAAGAACTTCATGCGCCTCGGCCTGGCGGACATTTCGCAAACTTAGAAGCATAGCCCTACTCATCTGGGGCTTTACGAAAAAAGGTGACCCTAAAATAGACCCCCCCCAAAAAAAAAAATAATCAGATTCCCTTATAGTAAGCACCACAAAAAGGTACCCCCTAATGTCGGAAACCCCCCACATCCCCATGTATGGCTGCCCATGAACCTCCAACTCTAGTCGAGAGGGGCTTAGCGAAGTAGGGTTTCAATTTCTTGTACCCCCAAAAGGACACCCAATGTATACACACACACCAACATTAACAAGGAACCTTATATACGCTCACCAAAAACAGAAAGATAAACCCTGCTTCAACTTACCTTAACCTGGCTCCCCAGTACTTCTTGAGTGCTTGAATCTTCTAAGCCGGTTTGTACTTACGGGAGCTGCGGTTTAGGGTTTAGGGTTTAGGGTTTAGGGTTTAGGGTTTAGGGTTTAGGGTTTAGGGTTTAGGGTGGGTGCTGTAGGTGACTAAGGGGGACTGACCTTTTGGCCCTCTGTTGGCTCTTGTATGTCATTTGTCCTCGGTCCGCAATGACCGGTTCTCGGACCCAGAGTCGGCCGCTAATTCCTTCTTTTAGGGTTTATAGGGTTTAGGGTTAGGGTTTAGGGTTTAGGGTTTAGGGTAATTAAATAGGTCCCAGAGTAGGCCCTTATTCCTTTTCTTTCCGGGTTTTTAGTTCCCTTATAAGCCCCTCTAAACCATGAAGGGTCCCCTTTTCAATCCTTGGTTGCTCTTGGGTCCAGTAGTGCATTGGCGTTGTGTTTCAAGGTCAGGCTTTAGAAAGAAAACCTTGCGCCCTAATCCCGGCACTTTACAGCTGGTGCTTGTGAATGCCTAAATCCTTACAAGCTCAAGCTCTCTCCATAAAACAGTTCGGTGGGCCTAAACCCTGAACCCCACCAGCCCTAAAATTCCCTATGGGGCGTAAGCATTCAACATCTCAACAATCCCTAATCCCTACACCCTAAACCCTAGAAGTAGCTGGGCTTAAGACTGCCCGGGTCTCATCCAGCCAAATGCTTAACAAGACGCCAGGGCCCCTGAATCCTAGAGGGGCCTTAAGAACTAGAATAGTTTTTTGGGGTTTCGGGTTCAAGGTTTAGGGTTTAGGTTGGGGTATTATAATATAATAACCGTATTCCCGTATCGTCCCTGTATATCTCTAATATTATTAGAGATATACAGGGACGATAAGGGAATGCGGTTCGTCATTATTCCGACCCAATTTCGGTACCCCTTTTGCCCATTGTGCACCCTCAAGTCCAGCAGGCAAGAGATGCTCGCGGACAAAGATTCGCGGATTAGGCCTCGGATTTGGGCGTTGCAGGTTTAGGGTTTAGGGTTTAGGCCCCGGCTTTGGGCGTTTCAGGGGCTGGAGTGTGGGGTTCGGGGTTCGGGGTTTTTTTCCCTAGACCCGAAAACCCGGGTGCAACCACGAAGCCAAACTCGCACTACTCATAGGCAGTTTACGGGGTGCAGCTGTTGTAAAGTGTAAGGTTCATGAAGTTTAGGGCTTGTTCTTAGGCATCTTGCAGCCAGTGGCCTGTGCCTATGTATTGAGGCTGAGACGCATGGGTTTAGGGTTGAGGGTTGAGGGTTTAGACTTTAGCCCTAAACCCTACAAAGCCCGAGCCCAAACCTCAAACCGCCAAAAGGCAGGGAGAAAAAAACGCCGACGAGTCAGCAAGTCAGTATTTGGGGTCTCGTTCGTTCTATCCCCCCCACAATGGATAACTTGTAGAAACAACCTTCATACAAATGGTTCGAGTACCTCTCTGCCCATTGACCTAGGCTTTCAGTCTTCGGGTTGAGGGTTTACGGTTCAAGGCAGGTGGCACAATCCGCGACCCCTGGAATCCTGAACCCTGGGCCCCCCCCCCCTCCCCCCCCCTCCCCCCCCCCTCCCCCCCCCCCCCCCCCCCCTCCCCCCCCCCCTCCTCCCCTCCCCCCCCCCTCCCCCCCCCCCCCCCTCACCCCCCTCCTCCCCCCCCCTCCCCCCCCCCTCCCCC